CATGCAGGGGCAACTCTGTAGGCTGTGTTGTGAGTCCAGGTTTGGTTGAGCATTGCTGCTTCTTAGGTGCCCTGTGGTGAGATGGGTAAAGGGCTAATATATCATGCCTTAATTCCATCACCCTGGAGCTGAAGCGGGAGATCTTTGTTATGTAGAATAAACTGGCTCAGGCCTTAATGGCTCATTGACAAAGGTGGGGATGAGGAGCTGAATTTCTGTCTCCCATTTAGAGAAAATATTCTGTATTTTAATATATCCTAAAATATTCCACTTTCTAATAAAGGGGTGGGTTTTAACTTCCTACACCACAAAGGGGACTCCACAATTTTAATCCTGAGATACATATATTAACGTCTACTGAGGACAGAACCGTTTCACACACACACACTCACTCACTCACACTCAGGCAAAACGGGAAGCCGAATCCCCACTTCAGCCAACGCCGCCGAACTTCAAGACGAGCGGGAACGCGCACGGCGCGCGCTTAAAGCCACTTCCCTCAGACGCCTCGCTCAACGTTCCGGCCCCCCCCCGCCCTTCCGCGCGCAGCGAAGCCATGTTCGTACACCTCCTGGCAGCCAATCGCAGCGCTTCCCCCTCCGCCGCCGGAAAAGAGGCGCGGCTCTTCGGGGGCCCGAGAGCGAGCAAACTCTGTGAATGCCGCTTCGGGCCTTCTTCCCAGCCTTGCTCCGCCCAGACGCTGCCAGAACCCCCAGCCCCGCTCCTCGTCTTCTTCCCTTGCGCCACCCTCCCTCCCCTCTTCCCGGTCTCCGCCGCCTGCTTTTCTGCCCGCCTCCGAGACCTGCCCTGTCCCCCGCCTTCTCTCGAGGGCGGCTTCTGCTTTCCCTTTCGCCGCCACTCCACTTTGGTCGGTGCTCGCCATGACCTTGTTGACTGCCGGTAGCAGGGCGGCCGCGCGCCTCTTGGGAGCCAAGGTGAAGATGTTTTTTTTTCCCTCTCCTCCCCCCCTCTCCGTTCTGCTCCTTCCCCTTTTTTTTCGGTGGGTGGGTGGTGGTGGATGATGGGTGGGGTGGCTGTTCTTCCAAGCGCCATGACCGGGCGCGGGTGGAGGAGGGAGAGAGAGAGAGAGAGAAAGGGCTGCAAGCTGTCACCCCGCAGGGCGGTCTCTCCGCGTGGAAGTTCTCGGCGCTTCCCTTCTCCACGTCAAGCTTGCAGAGGCAGCCCGAAGTGCAACTCGGGAAAGGGTGTCTTGCCTGCCTCCCCGCACCTTGGAAATGCCAGTCCTACGGACGCCCGGCATGTATATTGTCCTTGGGTTCAGGCGGACTATATTGCCCCCCCCCTCCGCTCTCTCCCTCTCTCCCTCTCCAGCAGCTGCCAGGAGGAGAGAGTAACGTTCAAAATGTTCTTCATCCTCACTCTTTATTCTCCTTTCTTGTCCCCCACTCTCGCAAAGAGATAATCATTATCATTAGTAGTATTAGTATTAATATTTTAAAAGCTTCTGTCCCCGGGGTGCTTCCAGAAACTGGAGAGAGATTGGTAGTTGGAGATCTGTCTCCTAAAGACAACGAACAAACATACATACAAACAAACGTCGTCAAGGTCGCCCTTTTCTGTCCCACCGACCCACCCACTCACTTCCCCTCCTCAATATTGCGAAGTTTTTGACCATCTGGTATTTTTCAGGCCTTTGGCGGGATGGCTCACTCTCTTCCCCCACGTGACCTCTGAAGGGAAAGCTCTTGCCTCTGTCATGTTCAATTTATGTACAATATACTCGAATACAGTTTTAAGTTGGTATTTAGGGGAAAGGTGCATGCTGGGTATATGCGTGTTCCTTTGTAAGGCCTGAAACTGATACGGCCAGACTGCTTGAGCTCTGGTGGAAAGAACAGCTTGGAAAATGTGTCTCTTCCTCCCTTCCTCTCCCCCTCCCCCTCCCCCTCTTTCTGATCTTCCTTCTATATTAAATAATCTGATAATTTGCAGAAACTGTCAGCTGGAAGAAGGCAGTGAAGTCCACTGTTAAAGTGAGCTTTTTCTTTGTCAGTTTCTAGGGAGGGCCACAAAAAAATAAAATACATGAGTTTTGTTTCAAACATGAAACAAAGGATTTCATCCTCCAAAATTATTTTGGCTTTTTTTTTTTGACTGAGTGCAGTTTGGTAGAAACAAAAGCTGAAATATTTTTACTGTTCTTTGTTTCAATAGAAGAAACACCTGAAACACTTCTTGATGTTCTGTCTATGGATAGCAGTAGGATTCTGATTGAGTGTTTGGGGGCTATTAAAATCTGGATGACTATTAGATAGCAGCAAAGGAAACCACCCAATTTTAGGAGCTGAAAGGGTACCATTTGAACAACTTTCAACCCATGCCCACAATAAAACAGCTGTTTAGAGCTGTATCTGGAAAGAAAATCGAAACATGCATATTTTGGTTTGTACATAAACCACTTGAGACTAGCTGTTCCTTGGACAAACTATTAGTGTTACATCTGAAGAGAGGATTAGGCCTGTGCTTTTTCTTTTGTATAGTTTGGAGTAGTAGTCTCTTAAAGTTAACCTCTTAACATTGGATTATTTATTGTTGCTGATTTCTTAATGTGATTGTGGTAATCAAATACATTGAAGGGGATGAGTAATTCAATTTTTTGGTGCAAACTTGAAATTTTTAAAGCTAATGAATATATTGGAACACTCAATTATATCTCAATATAGTATGATAGGTAATAGTAATTTATGGGAACAAGTTCTTGAAGATGGTAATTTCCCTCTTTGAACATTTTTGGTAATATTCTCTTTTGGCATACAATCCCATTATCTGACTTTTACAGAAAGTTCAATAGTCTGTTTGCTCTTGTCTTGCCAGGGAAGTCTGCCCATGATCTGTTTATAGGGTAAACAGATTCTCTTTTTTTAATCTGGCCTCCAGACCTACTAAATTCCCTAGCAAATAGATTCAAATGCTGATTCCAGTGCACTTATTTTTAGATTTATTTACCATTCCTGGTCCACCCACCCCCGCCCTGTTGCTGTACTCAGCATTTCCCCCCCCAAAAGTTTAATCTGAGCCAATTCTGGGTGGAACAGTGATGTGGTGCTTTCATGTACAAGAAACATGGATAGTGAAGATTAGGATAAAAAGTAGATAAACTGCAGTTATAATAACCTGCATAAACTGCTGATCTTTATGTTCTTAATCCCTTTTTACTTTTGACTTGGTTTTTTTTCTGCTTGGTTTATTTGCCTTTATATTTGTATATTTTATTATCTTCTGAATAATTGTATTTCTACCGCTTTTCAGTTTATTAGATGGAAGTTGGAAGTAGTATTTTCTAGGAATAGGATATGTAACATGTTCTTGGGCTCTACTCAGAGGTGGGTTGCTCCCAGTTTGACCTGGATCAGGCGAACTGGTAGTGGCGGCGGTGGGGGGCCCCGCCCACCCACCTGGACACTTCTGCTCATGCACGAACCAGTAGTCAAAAAAATAGAAACCCACCATTCGCTCTACTGTAGAATTAGAAATTTCTATGAACATATGATTCTCCTATATTAGTTTTTATAAATGGCAGCAGGTATTCCAGGTCCAGGAGCAAGAGACATTGTTAATAGTCTGAAGTTCAGATACTTAGCAGGATTTATGATACATGATCTTCCAGAACCCTTGATACTTTGGTAAGTACTTTCTTTGGAATATGGACTATGTTCAAGAGCAAATGTATGGGAGGTTGACAAGCAAAAGAAAGACAGAGTTGCATTTTTAGTGTGGCCTAATGGCTGATATATTTATATACCCACCGACATTGTCTTGATAATTATTTAGAAGTGCCTATAAAGGATAATTAAATATATTTGTGGGTGGAATATATTGTAATTGGAATGACAGGGTTTTTTAATGCATTCATTTCATTGTTAGGGAAACAAACATGTTGGGAATAGTTACATGTTGGGGAAAATAATGAATCCAGTGATTGGCTTTATGATTTTAAGTCTGGTATATTCTATGTAAAGTGTGAAACTTTAAAGGTGGAAGTATGAATCCCTGGTGCTTAAGAATTTGGGAAAAGCTGTAATTATGATTGGATTATTGTTGTGCAATTAGATGCAAATGTATTTACTTACCTATCCTACTATAATCAGTGGACCAGGTGTGTGCCCACTTTCTATGCACAGAGAGGTTGATTAGAAACTTAGCTTTGCCCTAAATTTCTGTTAAAAGCATGTTGGATATTTTTTTAACAGCCAAATTCAGTGGTAGGATTCAAATAATTTAACAACCTGTTCTCTACCCTAATGACCAGCTGTGTAGGTGTAGCTCAGTGGTCATGTGACTGGGTGGGCATGGCCAACTCAACATCATTCAGGTCGATGGACGCTTCGCCTTAGCTGGGACAATGTAATAAGGGTTAACCGGAGAGGCAGTTTCTGTAAGCAGGGCAATAAAGATTAGGCTAGAAACAACACCAGAATGTTGCCTTCCTGTCTTCCTTAAAGAATTAGCACCATAAAGTGGAAAAAAACAAATGAGTTTTCTTCCAACAACCGGTTCTCCAAACTGTTTAGAAAGTTAACAACAGGTTCTCCCAAATAGGTACGAGCTGACTGAATCCCACCAATGAGCAAAGTCTTTATTTCTGATATGTTCTGAAAATAAAGATGTGAGATTATATTCTTTCTGCAGTTATAGATATAATTGTATATTAAATGAGGAAAAGAGGGGTAGTGAAAAGAGGATGGGTCCTAAATGTCAGCAAAGTAAAAACTTTATTAATCAGGCTTAGGCCATTTTGAATGGACACCTTTGTCAAGAGCATTATATAAAATAAGAGATTATGGATGGATGGATGGATGGATGGATGGATGGAT